CGAATAATTGGAATTTCGCGCGCTCAGGGACTGGAATTTCGCGCGCTCAGGAATGGCAAAACAGTCAGTGAAGATGCTGAATTTTGTCTTTATCAAAAGCACGTAATTTGAGGAAACATCTTCACACTGATCATCTTGCCATCCCTGAGCATGCGAAATTCTAGCTTCACCATTCGTAATTTTTAAATTCTTCCCATTTAAAAACTATCATAGCATCGACATTTTTGTATTAGACTTTTTGTATTAAAACTTTTTATTACAAAGATGTTAAGAATTTGTCTATAAAATATTTATCATAGTTTTGCGACACCCTGTACATAAATATATATAAACATTCATAAATATATATAATTATATATGAAATATATCTATACATTCTTCTTTCTTTTGTAAAATTACTATTTAGTGTAATAAAAATAATAATAATGAGAAAATATCATAAATAATTAAAAGGATAATTTTCACATTGTTTCTTTTAGAAAAAATCAAGTTTGGAAAAATGTAAAATAAATTGCTCATATATAATTATGTATAATTTTATATATTATATAATGCGCGTACATACGTACAATGGATAGTACCTCGACAGATGTTTTATACAGATGTTATTATTAGGACAAAGCTTTACTTTCACAGATTATGTGTAAGAGTTGGTGTAATATTACTATAGGTCTTTTTAGCTAAAGTTCTTGCACGTTGAAGAGAAAAAGAGAAAAGATGCAAGAAGTTCAGCTAAAAAAAACAATGGTAGTTTAGTTGCGTTTCTAAGTCTGGAAAATCAATTTGATCATTCATTCGAGAAATTGCTTCATTTCAATATTTGTCTTCCACCGCGTCAAATCTACGAAATATAAATCGAACGCTTAATTCCGAGATTTCTATTTCCGGCAATCTCATTATCAGCGGTTTTAATCTTTCTACTCTTTTTTTCCGTGACGATTGAAACATCGTAGAATTGAAATAAGTTCGCGACAAAAATTATACCGAATCAAATTGCATTAAAAATACGTCTTTGAACTTGCTAACAAATGACCTTGTTAAAAAATCAATTTTCGATCACAACAGCCTTTAAATTTGAAATTTAAGCAATATAAATAAGAAATTGTTTACAGAAAATTTAATACATTAAATTGATTAAATAGCCATTAACTATTTTATAAAAATGCGTTAAACATCAAAAGGTAATATTTGTAGAGCTTTATCGATTTGATACGAAAGTTGAACGGCATCTCAAACTATTTCCAGTCTAATATTTACGTTTGCATTGTGCCAACATTTTTTGCTTGATATTCGTAAGAAAGATTATTCTCTAACAATTGTCACATCTCATTATTTAATATAATTTACTAACGACTCATATGCGTTATTTATAAGATACAATACGCGCAAGCACGACGAACGGTAGAGTAATTAAAGGAATTTCGTAATTGCAACTGTAATTGGAATTTCTTTGGGCTAAAGCGCAAATACCATTTCGACAAATGAGAAATTAATTTGGTGGAATAGCGTAAAATAATGTAACGTGTATGCGAAACTTCTAAAATGCGAACACTATTACGGTAAATTAGTAAAGTTAATTTAACGAACTGTCAAAATTGTCAATCAGAGATAATTATTACTGTCGAACGTCGATCAGACGTATTATAAATATAATGGCTCGAATGTTTGCAGCATAAAAATTTGTTTCATATTAAAAAATTTTTTAAATAAATTTTTTATATTATAGTTATTTATTCATGCTCTCTCTTTCTCTCTTCCTATTTCACTCTTCTCTTTAATTCGACATTTGTCTGGTCTCTACGTGACAATAATAAACTCCGCACCGCAGATAATGCTTTTAAGCGACCATGAATGTCGCAATTAAACGTTGATTGTCTAGTCTGGTGTCGCAACCACAATCAATCGTTTTTATTTTCTTTTCTCTTTCGTTCATTGCTTTTGCGAATGGCTATCAATATGTTTTTCCCGCTAAAAATTGTTCCATTAAATGCAACTGTTCAATCGTGCCACAGTTGACTGGAATATTCGATGATTTTCAATCACAGTAACTTTGAAAGAATTTACAATTGCACGTTTCATTGATATGAATCACATACTATTTATTAAGTAAAGATTTAAATCTCTTTTTTTTTAAAAAAGTATACAAGTTTATATAAAGATCTTTATCTTGTCTAATTTGTACCTATATCAAATTTCTAATTTTATCAATATTCTAATTTTATTATTCCATCTTTTTATCTATTTAATTTGCTTAAATTACAAGAAATCAAGTTAAATATTTTAATTAGAAAATTTTAATCATATTGTAGTGATTTAAAAAAATATTCTGCACTGAAAAAAATTTTGGTCATTTTTGGTCCAATGAATGATCATTAACCAAAGTTCGACTTAATGTCCAGTTTATTCATTGATACAATAATTGGAGTCATATAATTACATATTCATGCATTCTTGCAATGAATTCTAGTAATAGTTTTACAACCTAAATCATTATGGGAATTCATTGAACCAATTTTCATTAATTTAATGAACATTTTATTGTATTTACGTACAATTTTAGTTCAGTGTGTATTTTCAGAATCATTTTTATATTTTTAGTATGACTAGTAATTTCATTGCCAAACCGATTTAACAATTAAATGCGAAATTTTTTATCCTTTATAAGCTTTATATTAAAATTAAATGAAGTATTAAGATTATCAAAATTTTAATTACATTGCTACACTGAGAAAAATGGTCTGGCTAGATTAAATAGTGATTCTCGTGGAAAATGGACGAATCAGAATTTTCTTTCTTTACTTAAATTTACTAGAATTCTAGTTGAGATTTAACTATAATTATGATTGATATAATTATTCTGATAAAAATAAGAATTCTAATAGATTTTACCAGAAATATTGTATCAATCAGAATTTCCGATTTCAATTATCTCAACTAGAATTCTAATAAATTTAACCATAAAAATCTGATTCGTCCGTTTTTAACCAGACATTCTTCTTAATAAAATTTAAATATCTAATGAAACTGTCCACGATATTACATACATAATATTACGTAATAAATACGATAATCTGGACGTAAAGAGAAAATCGATATTTTCTTTCTCTTTTTCTCTTTAAAAAGCAAGATTTTAATTAATTATTAAATTTAACTGTCATCATTCTATAAAAAGCTGGAAAATTCTTTATTCAAAAATTATTTGTAAAATAACATAAATAGATCGTTCTCCATCGTCCAATCTAAAAGTCCATAATTAAATTTACATTATTACGATTGTTAAACAAAATTTTGCACTTTTATCCGAATGAAACTAAACGCTTTCATGAATTTATTTTATTTTGTTATATGACGTACGCGAAGTTAAAGCACATACATCAATGAACAAAACGGGATGAGAGCTCTACTATAAGGAAACCGAGTTGGCTAGGCAAATATCGTGGGCAGTTTCATTACATATTTTAAATTGGATATTAAAGGATGAATAAGGACAGCGTGCCGCGCTGTTTGAATACAGGAATCTCTTTCGTGTGCGCGCCAGACGAAGTGTGTCTTACATTGGATAAGTGATTTAATATTTCTTATGCCTTTTCACTCAAAGCTCACGATTTTAACTTTCATTGCACTAAATCCCGATTGCGTGGGCATGATTTTCCATGAAGCGTTGCAGATATAATGGAAGGAAAGAAAAGTGTTCCAGCGATCCTTTGGGAAATCGATCGAAATGAATAAACTAGGAAGAAACTAATGTATGTGTAGGCGTGCATGCGTGCAGGCTGCAATGAAATATCATATTACAAGATGATTGTTTACTTCAACAAACTGCGATATTATAGAGCGTATAATAGAGCACAGATTTCTATGTGGCAATCTCGATGTTTGGTTTCGTGCAACGCAACAAAATTGCGGACAAGAAATTGCAATAAATATTTGAAGAATACATCATATACGTGTATAAGATATCCTAGATTTCCCATGCTTCCTTCCTTATGAGTATTTTTTTAGTCCAAATTACTTTGGCAATTTCAAAGTCCTGTGTAGGTACGTCACCGTAAATAAAATATATTTCTTAATTCTCTATAGCGTCAAACCTCGGAAAAGGAGATTTAACTTGTTGCAAGCGAGAAAATGTTGCGGATATCGAACTTGTCTCTAAAATAGTCCAATTAATAAACGACACCCTACGCACGAGCTAACTAGATCTGCTCCGCACAAGTTTCAGAGAACCTGATACAGTAATATAGATAATCCAATTAACTCTTCTCCTAAATGCTTCGTTACAATAATCGAGAAATTGTAATCTTGTTACAAAAATATGAAATCAAGCGTGCGAAGTGATAACGACTTAATCTGATTTTATAATATTTGACCAATGCTTCAATCAAGCAAATATTATTTGTAATCATTGTGAAGAAAATGCGAATGCATCCGCAACAATTAAACGTCATTTTATAGCGCGACATTGCATTGTAGAGGAAATAGTGGAAGACAGCGACCAGCGAATAGAGCGTGCGAAGAAAAGGATACGTATTAATTATAAAATAGTATCGACTAAAAAAAAGAGAGAAATCAATGTTTTACAAAAGGATGAAGAATTCATAGGGCAAAGAGGCGAGTGAAGAACAGATTAGCTCGGCAAAAATTTACAAAATTTTCCAAGGAACGATTGTAGCATTGAATGTACTAATATAGATTCGTTCTGGAAGAAAAAGATTGTGATCGCGAACGTTAGGCCAGAAACAGATACTACCCAGATAGCACACAATATTTATAAAATATTTACAAAATATTTATAAATATTTGTAAAATTTATTTTAAATATTTTGTAAATATATTTGTGGTATATTAGATTGCACAGATCATAAACATTTTTTGACAAAAAAACAAAAAAATGTGAATTAAGATTTTCTGTAAAACATGAACTAAAAAGATTTCGTTAGTTATGACATAAAAATTTATTATATTATAATCGTTTTAATCCTTTTATTCTGATTTTATTGCAGGTAGTGCCAAAAAGGGCGGCTCTATTATTTGATCAATTAATGGTAGCTCTACAGAAGGTTGTTGATAATCAGGGAAAAGGTTCAGTTGGAAGCAACAATTTAGTTGGAAGTAAAGGTTCAACTAGAAATAAAATTTCAATTGGAAGTACAGGTATAAGCAAGCCACCAGCACATCATTTCCAAGCCGTCAACTCGGAAATCATCCCTATGGTGGATGATCAAACGGTAGCGAATTTGATATTAACTGTTATTCGAAAAAATAGTAGCTCGAGCCACATTGTAAGGCAACCATACATTTCTTCACTTTTCATATTTTTATTATAATTTTACACATTCCTGCAAATAACATTATTTATTATAGTACTTATTTTAGTACTAAAATAAAAATAATTTATCCTTGCAATACAATACTACAGTAAAATTCATACAAAGTGTAATGTGGTTTGAAAGCTCCGCATAGCAACCTCTGCAAGAAATTATCATATTAATGGCGCATTTTTTGTACTTTGATACAACTCAATTTCTTAATAAAATAGTAAAATGTAATAAAATTAATCAAATATAATAAAATTATTATACTAGACAAAATGAGTAATAGAAAAAATAATATGAGAGATTAAGACAGTATGAACACGACGAATCAATAAAAAAGTCAGAAATGTTCGTGCGTGCACCTGTGTGTCATCACTAAAATTTAATTATAATACTACAGCTATAAAATTTAATACGAGTGTATTCACATTCGCATTTTCCTCATTTTCAGATGGATCTGCAACGACGTGGACTAGCCCAGAGTGAGCTCTTCTGGCGCTGTTACTTCAATGCCCTCGCATGCTTTAGGAAGAAGTGATAATGACCACACCGCCCTCAGTTCTTCTCAACCCCCAAAGATCGAAAGAGTGCGCGAAATTTCGTATCATTTCCTCGACTTAGCTGCAACAGCACGACGAGTAGCAGTGCTTTCCTGGCTAGAGTGTCAAGAAAATCAGTGAAGAATCAAAAATGTACAGTAGCACAAATTCGCATGATTATGGCCGGTATTCATAGTTGGATCTTATATTTAAGACCGTCTTAAGTACAGTTTTAAGATGTCATGAACCAAGTAGAGTCGCATTAGCATTTTAAGACATTACTTAAAACGGTCTTAAAATAAGAACGGATTATGAATACCGTCCTATGATCGTATTTAGAATGTTTAATTGATTCTCCTTCAACCGTTTTATTTTTTTTGGCGCGTTAAATCCAGTAAACATGAACTAAAAGTAACATATTATCAATGTCATAATTTCACACTCAACAATGTAACTGTTATGTAACATATGTGTTATATTATATTTATATCGTAGAGTATGAATTATAACATTGTTATGCATCTGTTAATTAATGTTTACTGGGAAAGGATACCTCTGCCATTCTTTTCAGCGACTATATCGTTACACATCGTTGTCTCATCTTCTCCATCACGGATCATATGCAACACATGGAGAACCTATACTTACTCTTTTCCTCTTGCTTAAACGATTGAAGACCTATCCATTAAATAACTCTCTTCAAGCATATCAACCAAAATGAAATAATTTGTTATAAACCTTATGTGAGTTTCCTCGATATCCGTTTTTGCGAGTTACTTCTAGATATAGGTATCCTTATTCTCTATTACATTATTCTTTGTCTTTGATGCTAATTGAGGATGTTTGAAAAATACATACAATTTTCATAATATCGTCTTGTTGCTGATGTTTACGTAAACTGTGAAGATTTAAAGTAGAAACTCTGGTATCGTATTATTTCTTTTCTTTTTATAATTGCGTAATATTAATGGAATTGAAAGGTACCTGATGGTATACTTTTATTTGTTATGTCGAAAACAACATTCTTATGCCCGTTTCCACCAATGTAGATTAACTTTGATCTCGATTCAAACTCTTTATCTTTTTCTAATCTTTAGAACTAGAAAAAGATGAAGAGTAGGTTGAACAGAGATTAAAGTTAATCTACATTGGTGGAAACGGGCATTAATAACATAAACCCTATAGAAGTCAAGAACTGCAAAATTTTAGATGATATTGATGTATTAATTCTTTTTTCATTTAATTTGGTATGATAAAAAAACTATTTAATATCTTAATAGATATTAAATAGATAGAGTAAGAATTTACCAACCACGGCATATTTATACGGCATATTTTCTAATTACACGAAAATGTGGCTCCTGCACAAAACCATGCATCTCAATACTATTATATATGCATATATATATGTAAATATATATGTATATATTCACATTATTGATATTTAAATGTTACAGTAAATCATTTAAATGAAATTTATTCAAATATAAAATAATCTACATAAATAATAAAAAAGAAATGGCTAAAGGCGAGCAAAACAAATGTTAGAATAATTAATATTTATTGTCTAACAAGAAAATATATATACATTTCGACTAACACTGAGTCTTCTTCGTCAGTCTTCTACGTCATTACAAATAACGTACTAAGAAAAAATAATTGAGAGGAAATAATATTGCGTCATTAAAACATACTAAATAAACTATAAATTCGACAATGAGAGCCAAGTCAGAACTAGACAAACGATAAACAAATCCGTTAAATTAATCTCCCAAATCGATCGATAAAAATGTGAAAAGTAAAATGTCAAGATATAAAAATTTGTGTGATAACAAATTTATCATTCCATAGTAGGAATTTTGTTAAATTCAAAAAATATAAAAGTCCAAAAAAGAATGATGTTAAATCAAATCTGAAATGCCAAATAATAAATAATAAAGAATTGTTAAGAAAAAAAGAGCAATTGAATAAAAAAAATAAAATTAAAAACTTATGATAATTTTTTGTGTACAAAAGCGTTAAGTATCAAAATTAAAAGTGTAATTATTGTGTTTTTCAGTCTCATCTTACTTTTTTTCTTATTAATATATTTTTGATGAAGAATCAGTGTCAGAAACTGATGAAGTATTAATTGAAACGTATGTATATTCTCTCATTAGACAATAAATTAACAAGTATTTTATTCGTCTTTAGCCATTTATTTTTTATTATTACTGATTTATTATTACTGATGAGCAATTATCAATTAATGAGCTTTGTTCTCTTTTGTTTATTTTAATTAGCATAGAAATATTTGAAGTTCTTTTTAAATTATATTCATATATATTGTCCGTTTTTAATATTCCGTTTTTATATATATTATCGTTATTATGATATTAAATAAAATATTCACAGATATAAATTATATACTTAAGGGGATGGACAATCATTTCTTTAAAAAAAAAAGTGAAATTGTTCCTTTTTATTATAAAGTTGATAAAATTTGTCAATTTTCTATTTATGTCCACCCTCTAAAAAAAAGCTTTAAGGTATGATTCTTCACACAAATTTATGACAAAAACTTCATATGATCATATGTCCGAAACGACATAGTTTCAAAGATATAGAATATTAAAATTGAAGGAAAAATTTCATTTTTTCCAAAGATTTCGAAAATCATTCGTTTTGATGAAATTTTGTATGTTTTTCGAAATTTTCAAGATTTCCATCTTGAATATTTGTGTAAGAAATCACTTCTTAAAATCTTTTAGAGTTACTTTAGTATCCACTCTATATAAATATGTACATATGCTATTATATACATACAATGGAAGAACATGCAAATATGTTTAAGTGTTTTTTACTGTTTTTTTAATGGTACATTCATTTCATTTTGTCGCCTTTGATAACCTTTCAAGGCACAATATTAATTCGCAATGCTTAGTATGAGGAAACATGTCAACCGCAACAGCCTTTACTGGTACCAAGGGTTCACCAAGATATTGTTTGGAACTAGGTCGTGCTAAGTCAATTAAATTTCTCATGGCAGCACGGGGATCACACGATATGTACACCAGTCTATTCAACTTTTTTGACTTACGCAATGTCAATAGAGCCTTTTGATCTAGAAAAACAATATACAGGTAAGTTATACTATTTCCTTATATCAAAGGTATGAATATTATTTGTATAATGTAACTTACGCAAGCCAGCTCGTGGAGGGTCCACAATGGCAATGATACTGGATTTCGTTGTCCTCTGAATAACAGGCAACAAAATGTCTTCTGCCTTCCCAACAAAAAATTCGCAATTCTTAATTTCATTCTTGACAGCGTTTTCCTTAGCATCTCGTATAGCGTCAGGAATAATTTCCACTCCTAATACTTCACCGCAATACTACAACAATGAACATTATATTTATATCTTTTTGAAAATAAGATAGTAATAATTAATTGCGCTTAAATTTATCATACCTTCGAAAAGCAGAGACCTATAGTTCCAGTACCGCAACATACATCAAGTAGCGCTGTATCCATCGTGGGTTCAGCAAGCTCTATTGCCGCCTTATATAGGACTTCTGCTCCTAATGTATTGACTTGAAAAAATGCTTGAGGTGAAACTCGGAACTTCATTCCGAGTAACGTTTCCTCTATATATTCTGTTCCACTAATATGATACAAGGTATCGCTACTTTCACCGCCTATACTTCTGTAAATTAAAAATATGCAAATAAAAAAATATATATATATGTTGTACTACTATTATATAATATACTTACTTCTTATCTATTGTTTGAAAGTACAATGAAGTGACATGTGCATCGACACCTTTTCCAGTTTCGAAAAATATTTTTAGCTGTGATTTTAACATGTCTAATTCATTGCTACTTAGGTTCTGAGGATGTATTCCTACTATCAACATCAGATGATTGGCACGAGTGGTTCGAGCAGTAACTTGCCTCCAATATCCACTATGATCAACTGGATTAAAAGGTTCTAAGTTTGATTCACGTATAAATGTTTCCAATATCTGAAATATAACATACAAATTTTTTTTAGATCGTAAGCCTATCTTCATCTCAATCATATCTAAAAAAAATTAAAAATTAAATTTTACCTTTATAGCAACTTTCATATTTTCTGGAATGTGACAAAGATCATCGATAGGTCCAACTGCTGTAGAACCTGAAGCATAAGTTGACAGTCTGAAACCAATTATAATTTTGCTCTGTTTGCTGTCTTTACCTGTATCATAAGAAAGAAAAATGTAAATTAAACTTGGCTAGATTTTTATATCCTCATATAAATCTATAAGAAATAATCACCAACTGTAAATTCGCATTTATTTCTATATGCTTCAGTAACATCCGCTGAAAGAATATTTTGTAGTTTGCATGGCAATCCATCATACATTTTTTTTTGGGAATTTATCCATTCTGTCAACGTTTTACTTTCTGTAAGCATTTGCTGACCAATTTTTATTAGGATAGATTTCATCTCCTTCTGCTTGAATTCTAACTGAAAATGTATAACAGAGATTTAATAATAAGTGTAAAAATTAAACAAGAAATGTTCAACATAATTAATTAAAGAAGGACATATTCAGTTAGAGCAAATCTTTGTGTTTAATAATATTTAGAGATTAATACTTTTTAACAAAGACATAGTAAAATCCCTTACTTGGTCTGGATATTGCATGTTCCACAAAGGAGTAGTGATAAATTTGATTCTATCCATAGGGGAACAATTTGGATCCTCTGTGTCAGTTTTCAAACGTTTGTTGTTAGACTCTTCTTCCAATTTTCTTTTCACAAAAGGATCTGGAGCTGGTTTAGCCACCTATGTCAAAGAAAAAGCAAGAACTAAAATTATATATTTATTTTCAGAAATAGCATTTACGAAAGACTAAGAATACCTGTGCGGTAAGTTTGTTGTTTTTCCACAAAAATCCATTTATGGAGGTTATCGCTCGTTGACGACATTCCTCACTTCTGAAACAGACATACAACCAACTGCTGCCTTTCCTGGGTGGTTTTACTTTGCATGATTGCAAATCTAGTTTGTCGTTCAGAAGCTTTTTAAATTCACTAATTCCATAATGTTTTGGTAAACCGCGCACTTCAATCTTGTACTTCTCAGAAGTGAAATGATCTCTATCGAGATAAGCATACGGATTTTTCTCGTTTTCGATAACATTGGAGGTGTCCGTAGCATTTGTGTCCATGGTGGAAGAGATTGACATGGGGAGCTTTTCAACAAGAGGCATCTTCTTCTTCTTTTTCTTTCTTATTGGTCCGGCAGCCAAGCTGGATGATACTGGGTGATACTGGCTACGTTTACACTGTGCATTTAGGCTGCAGCTGTACAATAGATGTCCTTATTTATCCTGTAGGTTAAACAAAGACATCTATCGTATAGGTCGTGGACTAAACGCACGGTGTAAACGTAGCCATTGGGCCGCTGAGGCCTGCGTCGTTTAGTGTAAAAAAGATGAGAGTTAAATTGATTCACGTCAGTGTTGATAACCTAGAAGCAGTGGCCGATCGCACAGATTTCTATACTATGATGATTTCTATATTATTTCTATAATATGAAGAAAATATTCGACTGTGATTAGTTAATTCTTACAACTACAACCACTTACAACTACGCTTATGCAATTGTAGAATGGGCTTTATGCATCATCTACAATATGCGAAGTAAGCTTGGTTTAAGAAGTAGAGTAAGAAATTGACCAATCACAATCGAATGTGAGAAGAATAATCGACTGTGATTGGTCAATTTCTTAGTTTTACTTCTTAAACCAAGCTTAAGCCTGCGGCACACGATGCTTGTTTTCCTGCTGGATTCCTAGCCGGATTAGAATCTTGCCATCGTATTGGCTGCGATATTGACAGTGTCAGCATCGTAGCCAATACGGAAGCAAGAATTATTCTAGCTAGCAATCCAGCAAGAAAACAAGCATCGTGTGCCGCCGGCTTTACTATGTATATTGCAGATGGGTCATAATCTCGGATCTACAATAGAGTTTTAAGTCTTAAGCCATAAGAAATGGACGAATCATAGGCCGGTATTCATAGTCAGTTTTTATATTCAAGA